GAGTTATCTATCGAGCAGAAAAAATGATATTAAGCACAAAATAAAGATCTGAATAGTTATATTTAATAGTAACATTTTAGTCACACACCATTCGTATTTGAGTAATGCGTTAAATTCACAAGTTTCATTATTTATTTGTGAATAGTTTTATTTACCTGATTAAGAATACTAACAATAAGTATTTAAGATATAAGTATTATTTATAAAGAAACAATACAAGTTGTATTGAGTTGTATTTTTGTATAAAAAATACAAAAAGTATTAAAATAATACATTGTGAAATCAGCTTGACAGCCAAAATGTTAACAAATTGAGTAATGATACAAACCAATACAGAACTATCTCATCAAAAGTGAATACTTTGATATTAGTCAATCACATACAGTGTAAAATAGATTTGGGTTATACAACAATTATATATACATTTACATTGGTCCAAAATTAACGCATAATTAAAGTTATATAAAAATTTAGCGTGACCTCAAATAAACATAATTTTGCGAAAAATTATTGTATTTAAAAGTTTTTTTGCACTTTCAAGGGTAGAGTCTTTACTTGAAGAAACATTAGTCGTGATTTGAATCTTTCCGTATTCCAGCACCTTTTAAAAAGTAAGTACATGTTTCATCAATTGTACATACTTTGACATATTGTACGGAGCAGAGTAAGTTTTTCTCACAAGTATCATGGCATCATCGTAAATTTTGAACTTTTTCTTACAAATTAAAAAAAAAGAAAAGTTGTATGATTTTTTTCGTGGAGTTATAGTATGTCAAAGTTACTTATGCATTTTTGTTTACAGTTTACCGCCAACATTATCCGATGCACACCATAGAAAGATTACTGGTCAGATTTTGATGACTCTGATTCAATTGTTTTTCATAAGAATAATAATTTGCACACACTAAATTTCATTAAAACATTGAAGCATTGTTACGATTTTGTCGTTTGTTTTCTGAATGAACAATATATTATAATACAGATTACAATACTGTGAAGTATTGTACATACAGAAGTAACTTTTCATAGTACAATACCCGCTTATTTCAGTATGAAATTATTTAAGATGGTGACAATGACTAAGGGCCTCTTTCATCAACTTCTGGTTAAATTAATTGACGATCAACTCGCAGAAGCGCCAACAGCAGTTTAATTATATTAGAACGTCTCCTGTCTCTTTCTCTTCGAAGACAAACTGTATTTAGTTTTCACGTTGGCAATCGTAGTGGTTGAGTTAATTATCGATTAATGTTAATCGGAGTTGGTGAAAGAGGGCCTAAAGGGTCACTTTAACAAACTTAATCGGCCGATAATATCCATTGGAATTGACGAATTACATCTGCTGTCAAACGAAATGATAAATGCGATTGATCAATCCCAATGAACTAATTGGACGATTAGGCTTATTAAAGTGACCTTAAGAGTTATGATTCTAATGTTATTATTAATTATTATGTAATATTAATGTAAAAGTCACATTAATAAAAATATGAAATTCATCATGTTTTAAACTCAGTTTATCCCCCAAATATACTACTAACACTTTTTAATCTATCAATTTTTCCTGCTCGAATAATTAAAAAATGCAATAGTTTTCATTTTTTAATCTTTTTTTAATGTAGCAATTTATCTAATTGTTTAAATGAGACGTATAAGGTCTCCAACAAGGTAAAAAAAGCAATAGTGTAGAAAATATAATATAAGAGGGAACTCAAATGTTTAAACGACCCATAGAGGTACGGGTTCTCATTGACTGCGTTCAGCAGAGAAAACTGATCAGTGAGGGCTCAGTGATTCTTTAATATGATTGGCTCCTACACTTAGATCTAGCAAAAAACTAAAGGCAAGAACCAATTATATTAATCTGCATATTTATAAAAATATTAGTAAAAATTCATTACCCAAGAGCGTAGAAAAATTGTATTGCTGACGAATTGTGTTTGAAAACGGTTAAAACAACTTTCAACATTTGATTATGATATGCCATGGATTCCAGAGTTGACATCATAAAGCGACCAAGTCCCTTGCGCCTGGTTGATGGTTCCAATTGTAATTCGTAGCTACATATACATAAATAATTAATTTTTTCTACATAGTAAATGTTATTTTTTACGTGTGTGGATGTAATCTTACATAAAATATATACAGTTAAAAAAGATAAAAACGTTATTGTTAGTTTTTTTTTTCCGGTAATGAATTAGTACGATGTCAGTTTTTCTCATCTGTAATGTTAATAGTAATATTACATTTTGCCACTAACAATAAGAGCAACAATTTAAACAAGTTATTTTTACGATTACTCTATACATTTTAAATCTATTTATTTACATAATTTCAACAGTTTCTCTGATGTATTGTGAAATATACTGATTGAGGGTACTGTCCCATGACAGTCGGATTTCGGAATATCGGAAAAGTAAGTGAAGATCAACCAATCAGAATTATTGGGATGCATTATTGTTTGTCTGCACATATAAGTCAAATACACGATTATCGAAATTGAATTTCTATATACGTATAAAAAGAAATTCATTATTAATAAATAATACGTCTCCTTCGGGGGACTATCGCTCCTTGAAAGAGATCAGAAGATTTTCCCCACCTTAAAAAAAAGGGCTACCACAACTCTGATAAGCAATTTTATGGCATTTGAATAACTGATACGTATGTAAGCGTCATTTTTATTCCGAATTGTCAAAAATTTTTTTATAACTTCTATTGTCATTATTTAAAGGTACCACTTCGGCACAATATTAGCACAATTTAGCACAACCTAGTACAATCATGGAAATAAAAAAAATCGCAAAGTGGGGACTGAGACCTAAACAAATATTTTTTTTATTTTCTAACGTATTTTTCGTATTTTGACTTTAATACTTAGGCACAGTGTAGCACAAACCTAGCACAATTCAGCACAATTCTCAAAATAAGTTAATTCCAAAAGTGGGGGGGGGGGGGGGGGGCTAACTTCTTACAGGTTTTAAAATGCTCTTATTTTTTAGATAATAAATACTAATAAGCTTTTTATACAAAAATTTAAGTAAAGTTGAAAATCGAAATAATTAAGTGTTTTAATATTTAACTTAAATCTATTCACAAAGGGAAAGAAGCCCTACGAATAATGTAGGTTAGAACTTTAGAATCTATCAATTTTTTAACGAGACCAAAACAAAGTGGTTGCAATATTTTTTACTTAATGTCTTTCGTGTTTTAAGTTATGACTTTGGCAATTGCTCTGATTCTATTTTTGTATTGTAGCAGGCGATCATTAATGACATTGGCATTATCCGAAACGTATCATGTGGAGGTTTTGCACAGTTGGATTTACTCATCTTATGTGTGCGTGCCTGTATATGCCATGTGTATTTAATTTTTTTTATTAAGTACCCATGCGTGCACATATGTACAAGAAGAGAGTATAAACAATGAAAATACACACACCAATATAATACTACGTCGCCATTGTCAAGGTCAAATCGAAAGTGTGAGAAGCCAAGAAATTTGTCATCACACGATGCTACCAAGTACCACGCCATTTCTTCTGTTAGTTCTGTCTGTTTTTCAGTTGCGTTCCAGCCCCAACTAGACTGTTCATACATATTCTTCATGTTCCTCTCCATAATATCTAAGATCCATGATAAACAATTTGATGGTGCATCCTTTGCCTTAACGCAAGCAAGCTTGATCATGTTATTATCCTTCGTGATATACTCGTGGAATTTATGCAAAGTCTCCAAAGGATTTGCCAAGGCATTTGCTTTGTTTATCAGTTGTCGCTGCGTTATTGCCTTCTCTGCCAAAAGCTGACGCCTTGTTTTTCTAGAAATTTTCTTTAAAAAAAAAATGCAAGAATTTAAAATTAAATTTTTCTGACATTTTATAGGAACACTTTAAACGCGATCACATAACTAACCGGCATTATTAACGTTCAAATTTCGGATGTGGCGCCTCTTTTGTTCAAGTATAGGTTATGTTGTTTTTCTCGATAATATTCCGTTATACATGTATTCTAACTCGTTAATTTCAGAAGAGGGGAATATGAGGAATACCCCGATTACCTCAAATTTTGATAAAAATACACTCACACACAATCAATGCGTTTTCGCATAAAAATTAAATTTTGACAAGAAAAAAGCGTTGCCTACAGTGAACCGGTATACAGACCATAGATCATGATTTAATCCAGTGATGCACATTTGGACTTTAAGGGCCTGCGCACAATAGAGGAACAAGAATTAGATATTAAGATTTCAACCTATCAGAAACTGTGTATTCCGATGTAATCAGTTTCTGATAGGTTAAAATCTTAATATCTAATTCCTGTTCCTCTATTGTGCTCAGGTCCTAATCCATGATGCAATACAGCTAGTCACACATGTTGGATTCACACTGCATCCGATGTACGTCGTGCGACGCTCTGCAACCAATCGGAAAACAGGATTCCGATGGATTTTGCTTCGTATAGGTGGCACCCAGTTGGACACGGCTCAATGGGACACGAGCCACTCACAGCGCTTGAGACTACAAAGCTCCTAAGCACCGGTCGCTGTGATTGGTGGTATCCAATCGAGCCGTGGTCAATCGGGATCACCCCCTTCGTATCATCGGAATCCTGTTTTCTGATTGGTTTCAGAGCGTCGTACGACGCAAATGCAGTGTGAATCCAGCATAATGGGTGCATTCAGTACTACAACCGTTCACTGAGCGCTCAGTGAACTCTTATATCTAATTGGTGTATATTTTTAGATCTAATGGAATATGCCAACCAAATGCAAGAGCTCACTGAGCGCTCAGTGAGCGGGTGTAGTACTGAATGCACCCATTGTAGATCCGGACTGAAGCCTTCATAAAGCATCATTTCCACAGCGGGGAGATTTCCGTTGTGATAAATGTCGAAGAATAGACTGGAAATTGGAATATCCAGGAATACCTAGTGAGTTTCGCAAGGCCAATGGTATGGTTTTTGTGAGTTTTCGCATTATGTACGATTACGACCTGTTATTACGACAGTTCGACGGGTGATACAAAAACACGTGTCTCTTGGGCGAATTTTAAGCGTCTATACTGTCGGTAACAGTCGGTAGTTCCGATTTTTGGTCGTCAAGTCACATCAGGTTGATCGCGAGCGCGGGCGCGCGCGCACGCGATACACGCGAGCAAGTTCGATCGCGGTGCCGGGATTTGTCAGGATTAGCGGAAAAGTGAATGCGGTAGTCACGTTTACAATTTGTATAGTTGTGCACTGCACTCGCGGCCTGCAGCGGCCTGAAGTTGGGCGGCACGGCACGGCGCGGCGCGGCGCGGCGCGAGTCAAAGGGAAAGCGGGCTTCGTAGCGGCGTGGCGCGGTGAGGCGCGGGGCGGCCATTTTATGTATTAGTATGACGTAGAGGCTGGGTGTAGCTTAGCGTTCTTATTGTCGGTTGTGCGCGAGGAAAAAACTAACGGATCGGTGTCTGGTAAGTGTTCGAATGTTTGATGATCGCGAACGTTCAGCCGCGAGTGACGTCAAGTTGCCACCGTCGCCGCAGCGATCGCTTTCCCGTGGATAGTCGTCGTGCCGTTTAGCTGTGTGACGCGTGTAACGCGTGGAGGCCGCGGAGGGTAAGAGCAAATAGTTTCGGTGAGAGGGGAAAGTGTACGAACGGACGAAACGAACGAACGAACGAACGAACGAGCGAGCGAGCGAGCAAACAAGCAAGCAAACGATCGAACGACGAACAAACTGACGGACGGACGGACGGACGAGCGAGCGAAAAGTGAAAGTGCATTCGTCCCGGCGGTGCGTCCGTAGCAGCGCCAAGCAGCGCTGAGCGCGTGCGAACATGAGCGAGGAAAGTAATCCACGTACGCTGTACGTGGGCAATCTGGACACCTCGGTATCTGAGGACCTTTTGTGTGCGCTCTTTTCGCAAATCGGCGCCGTGAAGGGATGCAAGATAATCCGTGAGCCCGGCAACGATCCGTATGCCTTCGTTGAATTTACGAACCACCAGTGCGCGGCCACGGCGCTGGCCGCCATGAACAAGCGCTTGTTCCTCGACAAGGAGATGAAGGTTAACTGGGCGACCAGTCCAGGCAATCAGCCGAAACTCGACACCAGCAACCACCATCACATTTTCGTCGGCGATCTCTCGCCGGAGATCGAGACGCAGACGCTCAAGGAGGCGTTCGCGCCCTTTGGCGAGATCAGCAACTGCAGAATCGTCCGCGACCCGCAGACGCTCAAGAGCAAGGGCTACGCGTTCGTATCGTTTGTTAAAAAATCCGAGGCCGAAGCGGCGATCAACGCGATGAACGGTCAGTGGCTAGGTTCGCGCAGCATCAGGACCAACTGGTCCACTAGGAAACCGCCGCCACCGAGGTCTGAGAGGCCACGGCATTCCAACAATAGTAAACCCAACTACGAGGAGGTACCCTTTTCTTTTCTTCTTTTTTTCTTTTTTGTTTTTGCATTTCCTCTGAAACAAGCTCGCGTAGAAGCGTTTTTATATCGTTAGATTTTAGTCTCTATGTCACTCTTCTCTTGGATCAAGCTCGACGATTGGATCTAACGTAAAAATCGACCGCGGACAAACTTCTATGGCAAAGGCATCACTACGTAGCTTCGTTTGCTACAGAGAAAAAGCAAGAGAATCCATTTATCTCTCTCGCTCATTTCTCCATGTCAAATTCAAAACGTTCAATCTTAATTTTAATCTCTTTGCTTCTTAACAGGTATATAACCAAAGTAGTCCGACCAATTGTACCGTATATTGTGGAGGTTTTACGAATGGTATCACGGATGAGCTGATAAAGAAAACCTTTTCTCCTTTTGGTACCATTCAAGACATAAGAGTATTCAAAGACAAGGGATATGCCTTTATCAAGTTTACAACTAAGGAAGCTGCAACACATGCCATTGAATCGACGCATAATACAGAAATCAATGGCAGTATCGTTAAATGTTTTTGGGGAAAAGAAAATGGTGATCCAAACAGTGTGGGTCCTAATGCGAATCATCAAGCTCAACAGGTAATTGTTTACATATTTTGGACAGGGAGAGAAGGGGTGGGGGGAGAAAGACAGCGATTGACATTGACATTCTCTCTCACAGTCTATGCAAATTATTTCATCCCGTATTGGTTAATAATGTATTACATGTTTTACATCATTTGTCATATGTGTATATAATGGAATTTTATAAAAACACAGATATAACAAGTTTTTTCATCAAACAGGTGACAGCGGGAGCGGGACAATATGCGTATGGTTATGGCCAACAGATGAGTTATTGGTATCCACAGGGCTATCCGCAGATGCAGGGACAGTTTTTGCAGCCTGCACAATACTATGGTCAATATTATGGGCAACAGGCTCAGTATATGAACAGCATGAGGATGCCCACTCCAGGCGCAGGAGCCTGGCAACCGACGCAAGCCGCTGCAGCACCGCCGACAGCGAGTGCACCCTTGCCTCCAGGCCAACAGCCCACTATGGTAACATATACCATGCCACATCAGTACCCTACGCAATGAAACTGATCGTTGACCGGCTAATTGTTACGTACGATGTAGTTGTCTCGGGGTTATCGCGAAAATCGTTCCGACATATACCTATTTCAACATTTACATTCGAGTTTTCGATGATGTAACTAATCGTTTTCACGATTAATGCGATTTCAATTTAAATCGAATTTTTTAAATAGAAAAAATATGGTATGCTGGCGGTTTTTTCTCTATCCTTTTTGTGTTTCTGTACACAATCGATTTGTTCGAACGGCTGAAGACGTTATTATAATTTTCTTTTTTGTCATAGAATATTGAGACACCAAGTCTCACCTAATGACGATGCTTTGCAATGATGCTTGTACGATGTATTGGCACCATAGTACCGCTGTGCGTCGTAGTGCTAGAATTTGGTCGAATTTCACGATTTTGGCTTCGAATACACACACGCACGCACACGCACACGTGTGTATGTGTGTGCGTGTGTGTGTATGTGTGTGTATGCGCAACGTTGAATCAGGTATATCTCTAAACTTTTCCTCGCGGCCCCTCCCCGACACTCAACCGAGCCCCGCATCCGTTGTGCTACGCAAGTGACGTACGTATGCGGCAATTTTGCGTTGTTGATACCTTTTTAATATTTTTGCCACTGATATCTCGACTCTCACTTCTCCCTCTTCAATTTCGGATTGTCGATGAACAACGCGTGCGACAAATGTTCATTTGAGATAAATAAGAAGAGTATTGCTAATATTGGACATAGTTAGTAAGGTAGAAGAGCGATTAGCTAGACACGGCGCCTGTGATGTAGCTAGACTTTTGGACGCGTGTATGCTAAGGTGTGCGGGGCTCCCTAACAAATAAATTCTGCGAGAGTTGAGTAACGAGTTACAACTTTATCTCGTTGTGTGATATTTATCGTCGGTGGTTAATGTATAAAATTTTGCTATAATTCTCTTCAAAGAAGAATAATAGAAGAGAGAAAGAGAAAAAGTATGTGTGTGCATACGCATGTCGTGTATGTGTGCGTGTGTGCGTGCGTGCGTATATGTGTGTGTTGCGTGCGTGCGAGTGTTTTTTTTTGCTAAAGACATCAGTGAATCGAGATTCCCTTGTACGAGTGCAAGCTCAATTGCTGCGACGTTGTACGTTAATTAGTTTTTAGCATTGGGTCTCTTCTAGTAAATTTCTATCATGTTTTTAGGGTATTTCGAAAATTTTATTCAGGATGCGATTCACTTAACGCTGCAAATGCTTCAAAGCATTGGTTAATTCGTGAAATTCTTCTAATCGGTTAACAAATTGCATTACATTGTTAAGTGGATCACACTCTTGAATGTGAAACGAATAAAAATCGCGGTATGCTTTTGTTTTTATATATACTGAATATTCGTCGTGATTTCGGAAAAGAAAAAGAATAAATATAGGGATTGATCGCGTCGCTAAAAATGGTGTATAGTTAGAGATCCGAAGAGATATCGGTATTAACGTACTCCGTCGTACATCGTAATGTTAATAACTCCTCGCCGTTTGTATAGACGACCTAGCCGACCGAAGAATAATAAATAAATAAATGTAATTTAAGTCTAACGATAATAATAACGATAAACGCACGCATACTTCCATCGGGATATTTCTCAGCAAGGGACGAGTCATTGATATCTTGGTCTCGGGATTAAGACACGCGTATGAAAATTGAAAACGTACATATGTATATTTGTTACTTGTTATGCAAACGTCGCTAATTGGTATCTTGTTTTTGCAACATAGCATGAAACGATTCGATTGACAATCAAATCGTGATATAATATACATACATTTGTGAATTATTATTATCGTAGTCTGTACATGACACGATTCGATTCCTTCGTGTCTTCCAAGTTAACGTGTAACTCAAGTTTTTATTTTTCGCGTATCACTATTAACGATAGTTTTTTTTTGTTCTCTCCGGTGTTCTCGTCAGGGCTTGGGTGACTAGTCTCTCAGGCTACCGATTTCAGAAGAAACTTTACATACGTTGTGTATTTAGATACGCGACATATCAATATGAATCGAGAATTTTACTGTGAAAATATCAATTGTCTAACATGTAATGATTACAATACATGTCGCAGATGGACGTCGTTCATCGCCCTTCTTTTTCAGTTTGTTGAAGATTGTTGATTGCAATCTTTCTTCGAGTGTTGCACTTTTATTGACAATTCTAATCCGAAATTATATAATTAATTACATGATGAAATTGTATAATTAATTATTTAATGACGTTATGTATAGTTAATTACAGGATGAAATTATATAATTAATAAACACGATGATCTTGGTCGGTGCCTTAGTATCTAGACATACGAGCCCTATTACATGGTTGTTTTTTTGCGAAACAACTTATTTTACGAGATTTGTATGCGTGATTGCGACGTGTCCATTGCATTCTTCGGAAAAAGATCGAGTTCAAGTATCTACCGTTCCAACGGAATAATAAATATCCCCATTTCAAGAATAATGGAGCTTATTATTTTATTTTGTAATTGCGAATGTTCGTAAAGAGGCTCGAAATGGATTATATCCAATGATGCTTGATATGTGAGAATGCTTATCACCTCAGTTCACCACCGACGGTAAAATGCCATAAAAAATTTCAAAACCAATTTGTATAAAGTCAGTATATAAACGAGATGCGAGGTAAACGAGGGAAATGAATAAAGCCGGGCATGGTAACGATTCGATTGGCTGCGACAAAACGATAACGGACGAAAAGCCAATTTAAGAAAAACCGCGGAGTTGCCTGCGATGTAATCGGTAGGGAAATCGTAAGAGAGGAAACAAAAGATGTTATATAAAGAATAATTTAGGTACGGTAGGGTGTCGAACCCTCGAAGATGCTTAGGATAATGTTATCTTATATAATAAAAACAAATTGTCCTTTTGAATGAAAAAAAAGGAATAAATATTTAAAATACATGATATCGTGCATTATTTCATGACCGTTTGTTTCAACAGTAATTTCTTCCACTTGCGTGAAATCTATCTGCTCATGATCCTTATAATTACTGATGAATAGAATGAGCAAGGTATGGTAATGTATGGTGTATCAATCTATGGTAAATGATACGATTGTGTATGGCGTAAAATTAACACAATACCCAACTACATGTATAATACGGTTTTATTTTTTTTGCAACATACTTGTACAACGACCATCCACGATAGTTTGAAAGACATTCTCGAGGAATTACTTGCAAACGTTTAAACACTTGTGCGACAATTCATGTGAAAAATAACATTCGTATCTTTTAATTAGTCCAAGTTTACGACTTTTTCTGGTAAATTTCACGATTCACATATAACAATATCATTTATTAATAAACGAAAAAGTTTGGACGTTACAAATAACATTACCTCTAAATACATTTCAATCCAGAAAAGATAACTTTTAATGTTACCAACTAAACGAAGGAAAAGAAAAGAAAGGAAATTAAGATTCAAGCATCTTTAAAGATTCCAACTTTGTTTACATAAAAGGAAGCACAAATATGAGGGAAATATATAATTTGTACTGTACATACATTTATTACATATTTCATAGACGCATTCCTCGAATTAACCATACGCTGATGAAATACTGTCAAAATGTTTTACATTTCTGTACAATTCTATTGTGCTATTCTTATATTAGAGATTTAATCGAGTTATTTTGGTAAACATCTATTAAATAGATATGTATAATTATTCTATTGGACGTTGACTACCATGGTATGACGATATATCCTATTGTTCGTGAGTTCGCGAATGTGGATAAATATTAATGCGTTCCGTTTTTGCGTTTATAGTGCTTGTAAGCATCATTTGTCCTTGTTCAATATTTGATAGACAAGGAATTCTTACGGCGTGTGAGCGTGAAAACGAAACGTACCCTATAAAGAAAAAAATATGTCTACGTATATGTAGCAAAAATGACAAAAGAACTTGTGGGAAAGGATATACGTTATATTTTTATGTTTCAGTACATAAGTAATTTTCTTTATCGTTCTCAATGTTCTCACGAACTTACGATCACGGTATGCCGTGTCGCCAACGACACAGAATTCGGATTTCTTTATTCCGAGTCCCCGTGGATTTCTGTGTCGTTGGCGGCGCAACAAGTATAATATACACTACCAAAGGATATTTAGTAAAAATGTATATATTGTATAATCTAACGTTTGATTAATTTACAACATGGCTTACTGAAAATATTCTATAATACTGCTGGACATATGTATATGGATCATACCTTTTTCGTGGAACGGGTTACTTTTTATTAGTAAAAATCATAGGAGTAATTTGACAAGCTTGTCACAAGAGAATACAATAATATTGATTAATGGATTATGAATTATTTTGAAAGTTGTCAATTACTTATGCAATTACTTATAAAACAACTAAATATAACTGATACGTTAAAATCAGAAAGATAATGTTTAAAAGGAAAAAACCTTGTAATCACGCACAAAGTTTTTTTTAACTTGTAACTCGTGTATATTTACCATTATACTAAATGGTATTAAATATAATATTTAGCATAAATATTATATCCGATTATTATTCTTACTCAATTTTTATCATTATACGTTATAAAAGTAGCAAAATAACTTAATCAAGGCTCAGCATGTTCCACAATAGAAGGCCAGGGTCTTTTAATGATCTAGCTTTATATGCGAACAGTTTGTTGTTGCAAAATTATCATAAATTTCAAACTAATATACCTAACATAATTCATATTTTGCAATATATACGATACACAATATGATATATATAATATTATAATCTACATAGGCAGTGCATAAAGTTAATATAAAAAACTAATATCACAAAGTAATTTGGAGATAAAATTTGAGTCAGCACCACTCACAGCGATACTGAAGCTCTGTTCATGCTTCATGTTAATTAGAATAAAATCGAACTCATCGCGCGGCATCATAGATACATTTCTCTCATCTAGAAAAACGGATAAAATCACAATTTCTAGAAAGACCCAGAATTATGATTCAAGAGAATATTTGTATATCGCGCGTTCTTGTGCATTAAGTACATATTAAAGTGCCGCGAAAATATCAAGTTTATCGTCGCAGTAACATCACAGCTCTTGAATGCTGTTTAGCATCACACGATTTTTATAATTACAAACAACAATGCGAATCTCGAAGTGCCATATTTATGCGTCGCGTCGCAGAATAAGCTGTCGGAATTATACATATTCTGTTATATTTTTATTTTATCTATTATGGAATATCTATTTAACAAATGCATCGTATTCTATGCCTACATAGAGAGAGAGAGAGAGATCTGTATTAAACTATTAATTTCGGCTGCAAATAACATTTTCTATTCTTCCACTGTATCAAAGAAGCAGTTTGCATAAAACTCATTGGAAAATAATTTGCTATTTTTAATATTATTACTTTGCACGATAAGTCTTACACTACAAAATTAAAGGGACATTAGATCCTATTTTTATATCACGAATGATCGCTCTTGATCTGGAATGATCAATAAATTTGTGTCACATTGCAGAGTATTCTAAGATATATTCCGTGTTGAATATATAATTTGTTTAATTATACATGCATAATTATTTTACTTTTGAGCATCGGAAGCAATGGATAAATGTCACAAAAATACCATACTTTTTGTGTGTATGCGCGCGCGCGCGTGCGTCTGTACGTATATACATGTATATGTATGTACATATCACAGTCAAAATATTTACTTTAATATATACATACACTTACTAATCAATGTATACATTTATTGAGTTAACACTTTGACCGTGACATGTGCATACACATATTAGTAAATTTCATTTTTTTGTGAATACGATAGCAATGTTCATCGAGCTTATATATAATTCCTTATAGATAAATGCTTAGGATTTCATATAGCATATATTGGATTCTCAGTTCGTTGTCTTATAGAATTTTATATTAAAACAGAATTTTACATTCTCCTTTCCCAGATCATATTTCTTTACCTTTACATGTGAT